GAGATCTGAGAGTATAATGCAAGAAGAAAAGAGTATTTTTAAAAGGTTCTGACTTGTTCTGATGTTGATTATGCCACACCTACTGTCAGCCAAGCTGTTGTTCATAAATTCCATAAAGATGAAACGGATTCCTTCTGAAGCAACCTGCATACTTTTAAAATGTTGACATAATCTAAACCACTACGTTGATGTCATTGGACCAGACCAGCAGCTGCTGGCTTATAGTTTCACTTGCTTAGATGCTGATAATGGCTGCATGACTGTCTTCCAGAAAAGTGCAATGAAACAATGCTTAATCTTGTGACAAGTATCTCTCTGAATTTTACTGTTGAAGCTTGTGGTACTGGTTATATGAGGTCTTTACTTCTTTTTGTGAAGTATGTTATGTTAGAAGAAGGAATGAGCCTTTTATGTACAGTGTAATCTCTGTAGAAGAGGATGCAAATACTGGAAGTAGTGTAGTAAATACATAGATACGTTCAGCACTGCAGGTATTTTTATTACCATCTCCAAATTACGTATTTTTGTAAGAGTTTTTAATTACATAGATTAAAAGATCCTAACCTGAAAAGCCGAATGTGTTTAGTTCCTTAAAAATGTATTGAGAACAACTGAAAAAACGTAATTTACTAAAAGATGCTACACAATGTTAATCTTTGCAACTGTCCTATTGGAGTGGTAAAGAAGTTAATGTTTCCTAGTATACATGCTAACTTCCTTCTAAATTTGAAAATAAGGGGATAGATACCATTTCTTTTCCTTGGTTTTACATGTGTTTGTATCTCTGCTGACTTCCTTGGTTTCCCTTGTGCGAAGTAAAACACAGAGGTTGGATTTAAACCATGCCTATACAGTGTGGTTGAGGATTTGCTGCTGTGAAGCAGTTAAATTTGAATGGTTTTCCTCATGTTGCATGGCTGCTTGTACTGTAACTTATTATAAAATGCTGATGTAGCTTTAGATTTTAGTTTTGATGAGGTAACAGGGTTCATGTGGTCTCAAAGCCGGGTGGTCACTGAAAGATTCAGTATGTATTCTGAAACTCGTTACATAAAAAAGAGGGTGTAGATTTAAGTAGCCTAAATTTTTCTCCTGTAACTTAATGCCAGCAGGTACTTTTGCAAAACAAATTATTAATTATGAATGTGAAACTGATGTTTGAATGGTATTGTTATGCTCTCAAGAAACCTGTCTTGAGCTTTGGACTGGATAATCATTTACTGGCAAATATTTTCATATAAGTACGTAGTTAATTTTGAAATACTTACGAAGTTTGAGAATGTTTGCCTTTCTGGAAGTTATTGTCAAGGCTTCTGAAGGAGCCTTTAAAGTTTTGTCATTAAGGAAAAATACGCAGAAAAGCCACTGTTACTGCAAATTGCGACATTATCAGGCCTCTGGCAAGCATACATCCTTAGCAGCAGTATCTTCTTGAGGTGATGGAAAAGAGATTGACAGTCCCTATGTAAAGTAACTTACTTGAAAGCATGCTGTCAACCCCACTGCCTGTCCACCCCACTGCCCCCCTAAAAAAACAAACAAAGAAAACCACAAAAAAACACCAAAAAACCCACCACTGCCACCATTTTTTTGTCCAGACTGTCTTGTGCTTTGCCTAATCCACTTAACTTGAAATGTTTATCTAAATATTGTCTCACTGTAAACATTATGAAATAATCTATACATAAAGCTCCATGTAATGTATATCTTGTAGATATTATTTTATGTATGCAAGTGTTTAGTTCCTGATACGCGTGGCATGTTTAAATCCCTTCCACTAATAGAGCCTACAGATAGGCTTGTGGGTAGTGGCTATAATTGCCCTAAGTAGTTTCTAAGGTGATAACCATTCTACATTTAGTTGTGTACATTTTAGCTTGCATTTATATTACAAGGAAAAAAAAAAAAGAAAAACAAACTATTGCATTACCAAGATTTAAGGTGCCTTATCTACCTGGTTAATTTGGGCTACACATTTTTTTTCCCTGCAGTAAATCACATGCACTTTGTTAGAGGATTTTTTTTTTTAAAGAACAAATTAAATTTGGGTAGAGATAAGACAACTTTGTGTTCCGGTTTGTGTAATATGGAAGTTTTATAATGGTGAAGGATGTAAGAAAAGATTGGTGAAATGTCAATGCCTATCAGTGTAGCATTTTTACAAGGATATGGCATGAGACTGCTTTGCTTAGAGTTGTCTGACACCCTGTATCATTACATATAAGCGTTCTGTTTTGAAGACAGTCATATTCTGTACGTAAATTATGTGAATAAATTATTTTATATTACCTGTGTTTCCATGTTTTAGAATATCGGTTGCAGTTATTAAATGCTCATAGGTACGGTAAGTCAACAGAAGCGTGGGCAAAGCGAATGGCTGAAGTTGTGGCTGCACCACTGGGACGCACACAGGGTGGATACACTTCAGCAGGGTCTTCGTTCTTCTCGTTTGTGCGATGTTGGTTTTGTTTTAGCATAGTGCTTGATTTACTTTGGTTTCCGACTTCCCATCTTCTCTGTAAATACTACAGCCTTCTTTAAAAACAAAATAGAACTGGAATGCAGGGAAACAGAAAAACTTTCCAATGAGGAAGCAACTCAAGCGGATAGGTTAGGATTTTTAAAAAAATCTGCCACTCTTACTGTAACATCCCGGCAGTTCTGCAGGTAATGACGGAGCCCCAGCGTTTGTAAGCAGGGCAGGGGCTTGCCTGGGTGCCACAAGTTCGTAATCCCGGCGGAAAATCCAAGTGTGCCAACAGAACTGCAGGGAGGGGGAGGGCGGCGTTCAGCCGTGCGCCTCGGGCCGCCGGCGCTGCAGCGTGATGGCGCCGATCTCTGAAGGGAAAGGC